ACCTCTAACCATTGACAACCTGGTGTGAGAGACTCTGTGAGTGTCGCGCGGACCCCCCCCAGTATAGCTCAATGGGTCTCCGAGGTACACAAACCGCCACACCACGGTAAGGTCCAGTCTCTTCGAGCCCTGATTTGCAAACGAGTATTTATTTTACATCCATCGAACTCGGTGTTCATGTACAAATAGTTTCAAGCAAACTTAGGAGTAGTATGTCCCGTCAGAAAAATATACCCCGATATCTGGAATATTGTACCGAATGAAACGTGGAGCGGCGTTTGTGAGGCACATTCAATTGACGAAGGACGTCATAAACTGGAGATTCTGTTGAGTCTCCCGCTGGGACTAAATCAACTTGCGAATGAGTACAGTTTACGATGATGCGGTGATCAAGTCAGATGGAAAGTGCATAGAACCTAAACAGTCTGGATGGAAGCCGGGAACATGGCCTCCTTGTGAAACTGGTTCACAAACATGCAGCGCCTTCATTCAGTTCATTCCATCAAAGTCGGGATACCCGCAAATCTGTCGACCTAGCGTTTTCTAACCCACTTTGGGAATTCGCGTTGGACGGATTAGAACCAAGATAATGTGTCCAGCTAGAAAACCTACCAGATGGTGGGAATTCTACTGAATGGTTTGTTATAGTAAACAAAAATCAGTCTGTAGTTACCTGAAGCGTGACTACACGATATCGTTGCCGTTGCTTGAAAGCGAGTTGAACCGCGGCATCCATGTTGTCAGTAACCAGGGTGTCCCGAAGTGCAAAATACAAGGCCGGTCGAATAGAATCGTTGACTGTTTCCACCAAGTCGTAGAGACGCTCAGCGACAAAGTTTCCTTTGGGCGTCACGAATACCGCGTTCGCTTTATTCTCCCACTTTTTAATTTTGTCTAATGCTGTTGTTGGGAGGGGAGGGAGAGATCCGCGCCATGAGGATGTTGGTAAAAGGTCGGAAAAGCAAAACCTTGTGCAAAAGGATTTGAGATAAACAGGCCTCAGTAACGAAACTGAATGTAAAAGAAAGGAGGACCAGAAGACTTACCGATAAACGTGGCCAAACCGAGGTTGTTTTGTTTCAGGAATGTCACGGCCTGCTGCGCCGTATCCATGGTGTCGGTGACGATGTGATCCAAAGCTGAGCATGCAGTGGAAATGGCCACATCATATTTCTGGGGTATTGCAGCCAAGTCACCGAGGCGGCCGATAATGCCAGGCAGTGTACCAGAACGTTTGGCATCGAGTAAAGCGGTTCGAACACGTCCACGGGAGGTGTCCGCCTGAAATTGGAACGTACGACTATGGGTAGCGAGTATCGGCACCATTTCTAAAAAACATTGATTATCATTCCTCTTGCCTCAGCCTAGGACCAATCAAAAACTTTTTAGATGAAAGGACCGTGAGTCTGGAAGGTTTTGTAACCAATACGTGATTCATACAGAGCTGCAAATGTGCGAAAACACCAGCTGTCAAAAAAATGGTAATCCACCTGTAACGTTGACTTCGATTCGGCCAACTTGGTCCGCAGCTCATGCAATTCCTTTGTCAATTGCGCCTCTTTCATCTTCACTTCGTTCAAATCTCGTAAGGCTGAATTCAGACCCGTCACCAAATTCCCACACGACTGACTTGACTGACGGCGACTAGGATTGGGAGCGGTGGTCAACTGTCGGGTTGCTTCGGACAATTCGGCTTCACGATCAGCCAGTTTTTGTTTCGCTTCTTCCGCTCGTTTACGTGCTGTGTCAGCTCGCTCTTGTTCTCTACGTCGACCGGCCATGACCAAATCAAACTGCTCACGTTCGAGTGTGAGTTTACTGGACAATTCGTCCGCCTCAGCCTGAAGGGGGGCCAGTGCCGCCTCTGCAGTCTCGACTTTTATCCGAAGTGGAGCGGTTTCCTTGGCCAAGTTATCGACGGTTTCCTAATAGCGAGAAGAAAGTAGGTTAAAATGTGATGAGTGAAGCGCAATACACAAGAAACTCAATCAAATTATGACAATAATGCGTTTGCCCCGAAGTAACAAAAACAAATGGGGGCTCCGATCCCAGTGGCACTATATGAGTAAGACTGGTCAACTAGAATTTGGACCAGGAGAAATATGGAGCGTTCAGGTGCTTGAGAAAGCCCAAAAGTTAGAGAAACAAGCTTTATTTCGAACTTGGATGATTTGTTACTTCTGTCCCGTTGAGACCAGCCACACTTTCAAACAATTCCGAAGCAACAATATCGAAAATCGAGTAAGCGGAGGCTTTCAGATGATATCTGCGATGTGCTTGTCCACAATGTTTCTGGGACGTTGAATGGCGAACGAAATGGCTGACCAGCGTTATTCTTGGCTTAACATCTCTGATCATCGAGCTCCTGAGCTACATGCCTTTAGAATGCCTCTCGGGTTGTGGGCCGTCACAGCTCAGACACACTAATTTTGTTTGTTCAACCGTGAGCTTATTGTGAACTTGGAACAACAGATGGCATGGACTGAGTCCATAAATCGTTCAGCTGCAACACCCTTCCGGTGCCTAGCTCTCATGCCACCGGGAACAAGCACGAGGGCTAAGGCACTGTCAAGTTGTCCAACCCTACACAGGGGAAGTCGAGAGTCAGAAGTCGGGTTCGAACCACGGATCTTCCGGTCAGCAAACTCGCGTTTTAACCACTGAGCTATTTCGCCCCGGACTGAGTCCATATTAGTGGTCAAACTGAAAATAGTTTCAACCAGAACAATTAGGCCTTATTTAGAAAGTTGAAAAGAACTGGAAGTTCTGATGGTACACGCATAATACATGTTACTTGTCCTACCATACAGTCAGTTCACTGGCCATTGGAAAATCTGTTTGCTGTTGTTCTAGTGTCGCCTATCTCAATTTTTAGTCCTGGAGGAAGGCTAGTACCTGGACATTGTTTAACTGGAGCAATGAGTCTACAGAGAGACACCGATAAGTCCATCCCTATTTGAACTGTATGAATTTGTCACCACACAATGTTGCGATGGTACCCTGAGTTTCAGATCATCAGTTTTACCAGCTGTAATGCAAAATGTAGCACCGCCAGTCATTTCCAACCGGATAAACTGAGTCGCGTCTGATTCCATCGAGTTCGTTTCGATTGCCCGCTGGATGTGTACGTTTATGGCCTGCACTCACCTGCTATCTAAGCGCGGTCAGCTTGAGGAAACCTACCACCACTCCAACTACGATGTACTTAGGTCTAACGACCTTCATGTTGCATGCCAGCTATGCGCAGGAAGATCGTACCTGACCTGGTTGACTTTACTCATTGGACCTTCTATGCGGTGCTTCTGAGTGAGTAGTTCTCAGGGTTTGAAAAAGAATACACTGGCGAACAGTAATGTTTTCGAGATCTCGTCGTCAAATAAGTACGCATGTAATGGTTAAAATAGGAGTAAGTGGTGAAATAAACAGCCAAAGTTGGCTCCTAAATTAGAAAACGCAGAAACCAGGGTGACTGGTTGTCAGCGCACCCCATACACCGCATGCTGTGGGACGGTCTAGAGAGCCGTTGAGTGACTGGGTCGATCAATTCGTGTCACATGATCAAGGCAGACTCAGGGTTCGTACGAACACTTATGACGGCCTGGTACCGGGTTTCGACTACTTTGGCTGTCGTCAGGCGACCTTGTTGGATCGATAGTAGCAGTCCGTTGGGTGCTCCTCGGGATATAACATGAAACGACTCTTTCCAATGGATCATGTGACCGGTGACTATTAGGTGGGACGGGATCAACTCTTTGGCTGAACCGTAGGGCCTAGCGAGAGCGATGCTCAGGTATTCTCTTGGTCAGTTACCAGCATATTCCACTGAACAACAACAGAAGAAGAAAGAATACACAACCGTATACTGAGAGAGGACTGGTATCTTGTCTTTGAGGTTTAAGGAAAGCAAAGGGTTGGCTGTAAACCAGGACCGCAGAGCTGCAGCCGGAAACGTGTGTTATACGGATCGAAACAAGCAGCGAATGACTGCAACCGCCAAGAGGTTGCTTTATGGAGTAGATTCAAGTAGGTTGGTCCTGACGGACTGTTGAAAACGACATTCAAATATTTTTGGATTTAAAAATCTCCCTCGACAACTGTCGACCCTGAGAGTAGGGTGTGTCCGCGGAGCAGATGCGCCTCGCTCGGTTCGTTACAGTGTTAATCAGAATTCGTTTGTGCCTCAGTGACACAAAACTATGAAAGTTTGTGTATTGACCTGTCACCGTGGACATTCTGTAGACAGATCACTGAATTGAACCCGCAGACAGTCCGACTAACTGAACTCACAAGAAGTGGAATGCGTTGTCACTCTTGATTTCAAAAGCGAACTGTATGAAGAGATGCGCTTGGTTGAAGTTATTCAGGAAAGCGTCTATTTCGGAGCCGTTTAACACCAGCAGAAAAGGTTCAAGGTCACATGCGAATCCGTTACATCATTGACGACTAAGCGAGGTAAAACAAGATGTGTGAAAAAGTACTGCCTTTCTGACATCCAACAGTAATATTCACCTCCAATACAATCCACCTCACATCGAAGTAGCCACAAGAAACGAACGCTTACGACATTCGGCGATAACTAGCGTAATTGGGATCGAGGGAAACCAGACGGCCAAAATGCTCGCCCTGAAGGAGTTAAGACACCCTGAGCGAACTAGCCTGGTGGATGGGAACACTGCCCATGTCTGCACCACTGAAGTCATTTCCTTCAGATGTGACTCCTTTGTTTTCCAACAAGATGAGAAAAATGGGACTCGCGAAGTGAAGTAATAATGAGGGGGGAAGGAGATTCATTCACCTGGTAGGCGAGCTCGTGTTGCTTCTTGGTTTCTTCCAGTTCCTTTAACTGCTTCAAAATAGCCTGTTTTCGTGAGTCTGCCTCACCGGGCAAACGTTGCAATTCCTCCAGCTTGTTGGTCTCAGCCTGCAAGGCTTTGGAAAGCTTTCGTCCGTTGGCCTTAATGTGTGCGTGTTCATCTCTCAAACGACTATCTTCGGCTTCGAATTCGGAGAATTTGGCTTTGGTGTCACGATGGCGTTGCAGCAGTTCGGTGTGACGTTCGACCAGCTGATCGCGATCGGCCTCAGTTTTGGCAAGTTCCCTGGACTTTTCTTTGATGTCCCCGGTCAGTTTCTGTGTGGAGAGAGGTAGACACAGAAATTAACAGACACTGAAAAACCAGCACATCTATTCCAGCTGCAAGTTTGGGGCCCACGGGTACGTGACAGAGAGCAGCCCGCCTGGCGAGTAAACTGCCTCAATGTACGGAAAGTCAGTGTCCAGGTCCGTCTACTACAAGGGAAAAACCGACAGATGACAAGCACAGAAAGAGCCAAGTCACAAAAGGTAAGGAGCAGAATTTGCGCGGCTAAACATGGAATTATCGTTCAGCTGTAGCACCCTTTCGGTGCCTGGCTGCCATGCTACCCGAAGGAAGCATGAGGGCTGGGATACTGCCAGGTTGCCCAAGCCCAGACAGGGGAAGTCGAGAGTCAGAGGTCGAGTTCGAACCACGGACTGTCCGGTCAGTAAATTCGCTCTCTAACCACTTGGACCATCTCTACCCATGAGAAAAGGCAGTCTGAATGAGTCTTTTCAGGTGCAATTTGGCTGCGTTCAAACACGTATGACTGGAGAATTTGAGTCCTCTGAACGAGGAAAGCGACCTAAGGGAACCGAAGAACTTTTAAGACAAGCTACGGCTGTTCAAGTACACCAATGACGATGAATTTCCAAAAGAAGAAGCACCTACGATTGAACGAATGAATTGTTTTGAAGGTAATTTTGAATGGACGTAATGTATTGCTACTACTGGCCGGCTTGGCTGCAAGCCAATTGCCAAGCTTGGCTAACAAATCAGCCACCTAATCAACCACTGCGCTGGATATCATCATCAGCTACAGATGATGGGGGCATACGGAAAGATGTACAGGGTGCGTAGGCTGAGAACTGCTGATATAGCGTATTTCGAAGAGGTGGTCGCAACATACCCGGAGTTCAGCCTGTGCAGTTTCGAGCTTGACTTTCGTCTCCTCCTCGATCGCACGTTCCTTGGCCATGCTTTGTTGGTACAAGATATTTTTCATACGAGCCACTTGATTCACCAGTCGTAGATAGCCTACCGCCTCGTTTCGTACTCCTTCCAATTCATCCTTTTCTTTCTCCACCGCTTTGACTCGGGTTAGTTTCTCCAGGCGCAAATCGTTTAAACGTTCGATACGATCCCCGTAGATGGACAGTGGCTCCTTGAAGCGACTCGATCCAATGATGTCCTTTGGTGGAAGACACAAGTTTGTTAGTGGGGATGGGGACAAGAAAGAACATCGCCTGAAGATGATGCGGCGAACGATACAAAAGGCACACGAAAACCAGACACGGAAAACAACACCGGGGGATGTCGAAGCGGTTCATCTATGCGGTATTTCTCCCATTTCAGGGTGGGAGATGGAAAAATATCAGCCTTCTCCGAGGTCTTATGCACCTCTAAAACTTAGTTGTCTTTGGACGTCACTTCGACCAGTGCAACTCCCGCCAGTGTTCAACATTCTCGAGTTTATCAATCCCCCGACTCTTCTATAAAATTGGGTGTCCACGAACCTGACGATCTCATTTGAATGTCATCAGTATGTCACCTGCTATACAATTCTACTTAAATAAGGGAGAATGACTGTGTGAGAAAGACAAGGTTCTAGACCACCGGTCCCAAACAGTCTGAGAGAATGCCGGTAGGATGGAAACTGTGGCGGTATTGTGGCACGGCACTTATCCATGAAGTGAAACAGTCTAGTGGGGTAGTAGCGTAGTTTATAGTGTAGGGACAATCAAACCTTTGGTGTTGCTATCAGAATAGTGGGGATTTATCTCGAAAAGAATTTAACAGGATTGACTAGGCAGTGGGTGCTTCAGAAGGTTTTTACTGCGTTACCATGTAACTGTTGGGAAGCTCGACAGGAATTGAGTTACCGCACATCAGTCCTGCGAACGTGACACTCTGAGTTCCTACCATCTTAAAGTATCAAGTCACGTGTTTTAGGTTCCTAGGAGTCTAGTCATTTATCACTTCTATTCCAGGGTATACTTCAACCGCTTGTACGCCGAACGGCACATATGATGTGATCCTACACCGAGAATATGATTCGCAGTGATCACAGCTACCTCGTTTCCAGGCTTTGATACGCATACGCAACACAACTGCCACGTAATCACAAAATAGAATTTACAATCTGAATCCTAACAGTTCTTTCCCATCCTGACGATATTAAACCAGGAATTCGGAGTATGAGAGTTGGTTATCCCAAAAGAATTCGTCATAACGGAAATCATGCTGAAGAGCAAGTTGGACAGAAAGTGCACGGGTTCGAGAATAGCTTCGTGACAGCGATGTTCCACGGTATGGATGAATTGACCTCGCGAAACAGAACATCCTGGGAATGTTTGTATTCCCACTCTTACAATCACCAGCCAATCAAAGTCAGAATCGACATTATGCCCCAAGTTGTAATTTTCTGACAAACGTTCTTTGCTTTATTTCAGTTTTACATTGCCCAAAACAGAGAGCAAAATGAATTTTAAGCAGTGAATGTTGGGCGAGTGAGTTGCTTACGAGACGAGACGAGACCTACCTCCAAATATTCCAGGAATCCATCCTCGTGTTCACTGGGAGCCTTCGGCTTCATCATTGCAATTTGTTCCACCTCGCCCTGGAGGATGAGGAATCTATTGTGGTCAAGATCGACTCCATGTTTACGCAGCAAATTGGTCACGTCTTTATACACCGCTCGTGTGTTGTTTATCCAATAAGTACTAGAATTGTCACGATAGGCCCGCCGCGATATGACGAATTCTGTATTGGGTACTACCTGTGATGTTGAGGTAAAATGAAGACACCAATGTTGAACACAAGAAGGATATTGGGAGCTAAAAGTGTGGCACAGGGCCAAAAACTAGTCTCAACCGGATGAACAGAATGGACAGTCGCAACAATTACTTCTCTCATGTTCCCTAATTTTTTCACTGATATACAGGGGAAACGAGTAATCATGACTTCCTGAAATATAGACCTGAGATATATGGATGTTGGAATAAGCGTCACGTGCGGTTCGAGGTGAAGTAAATTAAAATGAAATTGAAACTCCGCATACTTGTCTTCAAACAGTGAGAACAGTCACGTGACAGGGGACGGAATTCGGAGGATTTGTTTGGTTAGGTCATCCTCATAAACTGTAGCCCCTGGATAATGCAACGTGAACCCCAACTGACAGCTCGGGACAACCACTCCCGTCATGACTTAAGCGTGACTTGAGAGTTCTGTCTCGTGTTCACTATGGGTTATAAGGCAACTGTGTCACGAAAGCGTGTCAAAATTGAACGACCTAGTTTGTTTGGTGACACTGTAGTTCGTTTCATAGATCCGCTGGACGGTTTCGAGGTTTGAAACGGAACCTTAGTCGTTCAGCGTCGCTTCCAGCCGAAATGAAATGGATAAATTAAGTGTCTTGAGCACAACATAGTCGGTCTGATCAACTGACAAGCAATAGTTTACTGAGCGCGAGCAAGTGGGATTCGGTAACGTGCAACGGATGCGCTGGGGTTAATACCCGCGGCTAAGATGTGCTGCGAGATCTATGAAGTTGATTTGATCTGATTCATGTTTGACACCATAGGCGAATTATTAGACACAACCCTCAAGCGCCCTGCAGACTAGATTCTCGTGGATGAACTGGTTAAACGGAAGTTGCGAAGTGCCATCATTGGGTTGATGAAACATATGCTGTTTAAAAAAACCGGGTAAATCGTTTTTTTTTTAAATCCCGAATAGACAATGCACGGAACGACTGGCTCCCGTTAAATTTCGACTAAGATGACGGCATTGCTGGGGTTTGACTGCTTTGGGTTTGATGGTAAAAAAAGGGTGTAACTGGTATCCCTGAAGGCCAGTTGACTGCTATTCAAGCGGCGCACGCGCTGGATAGGTTGGGCCGCGAGCTAGTCCTGATCAGCCGATACCTTAGGCATATCCTATGTATTTTGGCTTACTCCCTCTAGCCTCAGTACTTGTACTTCACTCCAGTTGCACTCAAAGGAGTGCCACAGCTGAAGGATTTCATTTTGTACAATCCAGATCTGACCCAAGGTCACGATCAGCTTGCGCATGTGAGGTCAAGCTGAGCACAAGCGTTCACGTATTGTAAAGTAGATCCTCAACTTACCGCGTACATTGTGCGGTTTAATCCGATTTAAATTCAAACCAAAATCCACGTTACTTACTTCGTACTCCGTAACACCGGGTCCATGGTCTATAATCTTTTGAAAGTAGACCGACACCATGCAACTGTTTGGATTCGAAACCAGTTCACTGTTGTGTATCAGCTGGCTGAGTTTCTTGGAACGAACTTTGCTTGAACGATATCCGAAAACAAACAGCATGGAGTCGATCACATTGCTTTTGCCACTTCCATTCGGTCCTATAGAATTGGAGGAAACCGTGTCAGGACACTTACCAACTACACACGTGAAGTTCTTGTGAAACGGACCTAACGTCCGATTCCCGCCATATGATTTGAAATTTTCGCTTTCAATTTTGGTTATCATCAGACGAGGTCCTGTCGCATCCAGAGCTTGGACCGGCTCCGGAGGCAAAGGTATGTCGATTGGGCCACAATTATTGAGTATGTCATCATCATCTGGTAGCGCGGCCTCGTTCATTGTCTGAAATCAGAAACGAAACTTGATGTAAACAAGCGTTAAGGTCATGGATAAAAATTGCCAGAAAGAATACCACAATAGGGATTGATTGGTGCATCCGTTGAGTAAGGCCGATTAGTTCTGATGTTACTGGATGAACGAAGTGAACTACGAGAAAGACGAAGAAGTCCAAAGAACCTAGTTGGGTAGTGTCTGTTTCATGCTCCATGTGACTTCGTGTTGTTGTAATGTGAGGCACATAAACAATTAAATCCAACAGCAAACGAGAAGGAAGCGAATGACAAGATAAATGCAAGGATTACAAAATCACTTATACCAATCCAAGATTCGTGTAGGTAGATACACCACCTGGACATGGTCCATAACATCTTTGTGGTGAGGTGCCTACTGTTATGTTGAAAGAGAAAACAAGACAGTATCCTAGAGGAGTTGAACGAATTTATAGAACTGGTTCCCTGGAGACCCTTCCAACTGCTCCTCTCACCCGTAAAACACTTCCAGTGCCTAGCTGCCATACTACCCGAAGGTTGCACGAGGGCTGGGATACTGCCAGGTTGCCCAAGCCTAGATAGAGGAATTCGAGAGTCAGAGGTCGGGTTCGAACTACGGACCTCCCGGTCAGTAAATTCGCACTCTAACCACTTGAGCCATCTCGCCCTGAGCCAACTGCTCCACTGTCTCATCATCAACATTATTATTATTATCATCATCAACAACAACATCATCACCATCATCAGCATCATCATCATCAGCAGTACAATCACCATCATCAGCATCGACAGCGTAACATCAGTGTTCGACACTGATACTTCGCTGCCGAACAGCCATGATTTTTTTGAAAACCCTACTGCGAAGAAAAGAATAAAGGTGGAGAGGGAAGAGACTTAGTGTTAGCTTAATACAATCATTCCGAGGTGCCTACACACCCATGCGCTCATTCAGGCGATCTGGATAATAACTGAAAACAAGAACGCCATTGACCTCGAGTAACAGTCATATCTTGCAGCCCCTTCCAACCAGGCGCAGTGGCGATCACGCGGTCTCCATCCTGGAGGGCGAGTAGTGCCGTCAGCACTCAAACGTTTAGCCATCTCTTCCATACCCCTCGGGCAGGTCAAGGGTTGGCCACAGCTCTGCTTTCGCCATTCTGATTTGGGCACGAAAGACAGTACTCTCTTCGCCATGCGCAAAGCATGTCCCAACCAACGCCGCTTCTGGTGCAGGACACATCGTCAGGACCGTCATCGACAGCAAACCAGTGTTCAAAACCGATGCTTCACTACTGTAGACGCACTCTTCAATGGAATTACCCGTTGCACAGCCAAAAACTCGCTTTCTAACAGCATCGCTACGGATTCATCAACACCAACCCACACGAGACAACAATTGTCGAGCACCTAAAGAAGTCTCAGTTCTCCAGGTCTAACAGACCAATTCTAACAAACATACAACAAAACAGCCCGTAGCACAGTCGGATACGCAAGTTGATTGAAATTCAGAGATATACCGATTTGTGACGACCGAGCCTTGTAGATACGGGCAATGACCTCATGTGTCATACCACAATCGGAACTAACACAATTTTTGGGACACTCAAACGGTTCCACAACTTCGAGTGCCTCTTTCTGGATTACAAGTGGTGTGTTCAGTGACTGCATATCCAGGCGCATGACTACACTTGGTGGGTGAAAGGTGTATACCAAAAGAACGGGTCACTTTATCCAAAATACCTACACCTCTTCGAAGATGAGAACGATGTCGTATATGTGTTATAGATTGAGAAAGTTTTCGTCAGCAGCAGGGTTTCCGAGACCTTTTAGCGTCCGTCTCATTATCTGATAAATCAAGAAATTAAATAGGAATAGAGAGCGAGCACCCCTGATGGACATCACTTTCTGTACGAGAGCTTTTCAGGAGCTCTCCGTATAATCTCACGCGACCGGAAGCCTTGAAATCCAGAGAAATTTTCATGTAGGCAAACTTCCGAAGCATTCCTTGAGGGGCAAGCAAACAGACCAGACAAGCGCTGACTGAGGACTTCGGCCCCATATTTGAACAATGTGGGTGGGAGGTCATCCGAACCAGGAGCTCAGTGGCGCTTGAGAGGATATATGCAGTCGTAAACCTATTAGACTGCAGGGGCTTCCACGTTAATCGCCCAGATTTCTACGTTGACGGTGGGCTTCAGATGAGTGGCAGCTATTGGCAACGATAATTGCTGTTCAAAGTATTCATCATCATCATCATCATCATCATCCTCATCATCATCATCATCATCCTCATCATCATCATCATCATCCTCATCATCATCATCATCATCCTCATCATCATCATCATCATCATCAAAGACAGCAACATCAGTGTTGGCACTGATGCTTCACTACCGTACTCAAAGTATTCAGCCCAATGGTCGAGGAGTTTCTCTTTACTTAAGATGGTCACTCCATTCCGATCCCCGATGGTTTCGCTCATAGGTGGTTACCGAGGATCGGTCGCACGGATCAACTGGAATAATCTTCGGGCATTACCGGCTTTCTGAGCATTTCCATTTCCTTGGCTTTCCGTGTCCATTACGCTTCACGGTAGGCTAGCACTCTCACTTTAACATGACGTCTGAAAATTCGTCGCATCAAGTTACGTTCGGGATCGGCTGAAATAGTTATCCGAGATTTAATCAGTACCACTGTTCGGTCTGATATCCAGTGCATGGGTGCGCCTGGTGGGTCGTGCCATGGGCAAAACTCCCAGCACTGTGCAAGGAAGTGATAATCTCGTCCCAGCATGAGTTCACGTCCGTTGGTGGATCATTAGACTATTCTGGTAAGTTAGCCTAACATCTGCCAGTCACTCGGGCTCCTTCACAGATGTTGCCAGATAAACCGCACACAAGCTACTATAAATGGGCATCCAGTCAAGCAAGGATCGTTTCCGTCTGATGACTTAGGACGATACCAAATCCTGCACATCCTGCCACAGCAGCTTCTGAGTCGCCAGAGGTGTGCAGCCGAAAGCGAGTGGAGGGTGATGGGGCAGTTAACATACCCAGTTTGCTTGCATCATCATCATCGACAGCATGACATCAGTGTTCAACACCGATGCTTCACTGCCGTGCACCTTCAGTGATTGTATCTGATGCACAGCACATATTAATGCCAAGCAAGTTAAGTGTGAAAGCAGGAGCAGCTTGTTGTCCAGCTTGCTTCAGAGTACAGATATTCAAATCAGCTAGATAGACAGGGTGTTAAGGCTTAAAGACTGATTTTGAGATGAACGAGGATGACACGCAGATGTTGCCTGCAAAACCGATACAGGACGACGACGGATATGGCGAGAGTTTACTTGTATGTGCACAATTCGTTGTTGTACGTGAGCTGGGATACTGCCTTGGAGTCCAGGCCTAGATAGGAGGACGACTAGAACCCTTGCCTCAAAAGCCCGATCGCAAGGCAGCGGTGTTTGGCGGAAAATGTAGGTGTATTTAAAATTTTACAGAACAAGCTGCCATACATGTTGCAACCACCAAACTAGGGGTCCAGGAGACTGTGTTGTTCAGACCTCTACCCATTGACCAGACTGGTATGAAAGATTCTGTGAGTCTCACATGGATACCACCCAGTATAGCTCAATGGGTCACGGAAGTGCACATACCGTCAAACCATGGCAATTCCTACTCTTTTTTTACTGTGACCGGAAGCCAATTATTCAACACGGTCGAAATACTTTTTAAACCGAAGAGTGTGGTGCTGTTCAAAAGGCATCATTTCAAGTTAGAAATTTATACTTCACGCATTATCGGGCCAGGCCGGCCCCCTGCAGTTGAGCGGGTCAGATTATTGGGTTGTTGGCTCCTAAAAACCGCTGCATCGTGGTTTACACTGTTGCGGCAGAGTCTACAAGCAGGGTCCCCGAACAAAATCCTACATTCTCTCATTACCTTGTGGGCCAGACTTTCGAGTAAGGGTTCATAGTGGGGCATCTCAACCAAACCCCATTCTTCGGCTAAGGCAACCGGGAAGTATCACTCACCCTTGAAGCTCTTTCCTAACCGGCCTTCCCCCACATCCTCCCCCCCCCCCATCGAATGATGCAGTGGAATTAACCCATCCATCAATCCAGTAGCCATTGTTCCGTGTACAAACCGTCGCCCAGAAGGATAAACCAAAATAATCCATCACCAAACGAAGAAAAACCTGATCCATGTGGCAGTCTTTAATCCCCATCAAACTGGACAGTAGGCATCTATTGCTTTCCCTCCATATTGATAGAAGCTGTGCCTCCGAAACAGGCAAACAACCCCCCACCCACCCAATTCGTGTACCTAAAGCCGTTTAGGACGAGTTCCAACGTTCCTCATTTCACTCTTCGGGTGTGGTGATCTTGACGCAATGGCTCGTGGTATCTATGGTGTGGGAGCTACACTGAGCCCCAAGGTTGGATCCCAGCAAACAGTCGCGTTTGCACTGTGCTGTTGTCTGCCTCAATTGAGATCAATGCAGATAGATCCGGTGAACGATGTTTATATGCCACAACTGACTACAGTTCTGAGACTGAGGAAGGGTTTTGCTGAGATATGACACGAATGCTACAGTCAGCGACAGGGACGGATGTGGTGAACCTAGCGAATGATATGAACGCCCAAGTTGGACGACTAAGTCCGGAAGAGGTAACATTAGACTCAGGCGCTGAAGTCTATGCTCAGCGTACGGATAATGGGAAGCAACCACTCCAACTGTGTGCTTATCATGTTTCTTGTCAGTACGAACTTCTGGCACAAACGGTCACATCGGGTTATTTGGAGGCCACCAACCACAAGACAGTCATTGACTCCATTGGACCATGTGGCTATCAGTAGCCAATGGAGAGTCTCAATCAAAGATTGTCGTTCCTTTCGGGGTGCGCAACGTGACTCTGATTGTGCGATCTGTCAGCATCATATGTACCAAAGCACAGCAAATCCACTCGTCAACTTCGGCAAGTTTCAGTAACTCAGGCGCTGATTCAGCTAGAAAGCTACTATAAGCTCACAGTTATGAGGATGATGGAGACTGCTAGGATGCTGAACAGAAGCTATTCGAACAGAACAGTTCTAAAAGCTCTAGGCTTTTAGAACTGCTTGAACTGCCATCCGACTCGATTGAATGAACACTGGACATCATCGAGATCAGCGGGTATTATTGCTTCCGGGAAGACCACACCAGACACTAGCCAATGTGATGGCGCACGCAGGTCCCTCAAACACCAGGTAATAAGGAGCTTGAAGAATGGTGGAGAACGCTGGTGGACTGCAAAGGCAAGAACATGGGGAAGGTTTTCGTGATCTATTTTGGCCCGTTCGACCAAATGATCAGAAGAAAACGAGCACCCGCGAAAGAATCCGAACAAAGACGGAATGGCGATTCACTCCATCAATCGTGATCTTGAAGGACGGACCGAAACTTCAGAGGGCAGATCAGCGCGCCTCCTTCAGCAAAATCGTGAGGAGTACATGTGGGAATGGAACACCGAGACCAGCCCGCCGTCCAAAACAGAAAACCAGCGGGAGATATCAATTCTTCAACGCGACAAGGCATCTGGCCCGGATGATCTGCACCATGCACTCCTCAGGAGGGTAATGAGGTCTTGGTGAACAGTCTGACGAACACATTCAGATTTGGAATGAATACAGAACACCAGTCGAATGGAGCTGCGCGACCGTCATCTCGGTTTTCAAAAGGGGTACATGAACGTCTGATATCATCCTGCTGTCCGTAGCGTCTAAGGCGCTCTCTGACATTATTTTGCGCGGGTTGGTCGATTATCGGGAGATAGGCTCAGGAGAATTAAGCTGGGTTTCGCTCTGGCTGAAGATACATCGTGTCATGGTTTTTGTCTGCTTATTATTAGTTTACTTAGCCTATATACTTAGAGTGAATCTTTGCACGTACATTTCAGCCCATCCACGCTTGTTTCTGGGCAAGTAAAAGGTTGCTCATCATCCACAACCCAGACTCTCTTCCACATTCAAAACGTTCCACATCAACCACAAATGTTCCTCTAGACGGATCAGTGGTTAAGGAGCGAGATAGCTAAGTGGTTAAGATTTGGATTTGCTGACCGGAAGGTCCCCATCATCCACCAGACTCTCTTCCACATTCAAAACGTTCCACATCAACCACAAATGTTCCTCTAGACGGATCAGTGGTTAAGGAGCGAGATAGATAGGTGGTTAAGATTTGGATTTGCTGACCGGAAGGTCCGTGGTTCGAACCCGACCTCTGCCTCGAAGAGA